TTTTATATGATTGTTTTTAGGAGGGAATTAAGGCCCTGAGATTACAGTTACAGTTCACTGAGATTTTGAAGAAAAACTGCTAACTAGTATAAAAAATTCAAACCTATTGGATAGAAGTGCGAAATGTGCTCACTGAATTACTTCAAATAATGAACAAGTATTATAGTCTATTATAGTCTTATAGGCTAACACACGTTTTTTCACATAATAACACATTTTTAACGCGTGCTAAAAACGCATGTTTTGTAAAACTCGTGTGACTTTTTGAAAGGGTCAGTTTGGAGCTTTAGCGTTTTATTTTAGACCCAAAGTGATCCAAAAACAGAAGAACAGAGCCTAACTTCAGGTTCTGTGTTGATATCTGCTGGTTGGACTGAGAAGCTCAGCCGCAGTTCTACAGGAGAACCCTTAAGAGCTTTTGGATCTCAGAGTTGGTGGCTCAGTTTTTTTGCTAGGCTAATTCTATTTCTACTTTAATCATAATTCATTTAAGCCTTGTTTCTACTTGAGTGTGAGTTTAGGCTACACTGCTAACTGCTAACTTGCACAATATTAGCGAGAGATTCCAGTAAGACCAGTGTAGCTAACAGTAGCCCTGTAGCAGTAGCTAGTTAGCCTGCAGTAAAGACTATAAAGACTTTGTCTGTTTGTGAAGCTCAGAAATGCATCCCTCCCTAAATCAGTCAGTTCTGAGGGTTCTGTTGAGTTGGAACACGAAGTTTGATGATCAAAAAGAGAACCTCCAATTAGCATAGTGTCCTCTGTGTGATGCTAATTGTTTGACTGCTGAGTCTTCACTTTAATTCACTGTTAGCCACATTAGCACTTCTGACTGAGCCCTGATTCAGAGGCACACTTCACACACACATCTAACGCGTCTCTGGATTGAAGTTAACGTTTATTCTTTAACATCTCTGCTATTGCAATCCCAGCGTCTTCCCTGCTCACAGACCGTCATAGAAACCAATAAAACCATTACATTTTAGAATCCTGCTGGTGTCCAATAGCCACTAATAGTATTTAGGGTTTTGCTAATGGGTTGATTTCACAGTGTACAAGACTCTAATGGTTTAACGGGGGTTAACAGTTTGATTCAATGGTTTCCTAATGGGTTCTATATAGCACCAGAAAAGATTCTGGTATTGTTATGCTTATGTCAAGCTTTTTGGTGCTATATAGAACCATATATAACACATTCTTTGTCGATTTGAACAACCATTTTACCATGCAGAGAACCATTTAATCATGCAGTGTTCATGGCTCCATGTAGAACCACTGATGAACCATCTTTTTGAAGAGTGTAGGCCTCCTTTAGATCCCATTAGGAAGCCAGCAGATGCATTTGGAAACAGAACTTGTGTCAAATGAGTCCTTTACACTGTGATATCAACCCATCAGGAAAAGCAAGAACCAGGAGAACCTTTTAATGGGTTCCTGTGATGTTTTGATTACAATAACCATCATAAAACTGTCCATGTGTACCTGGAAGGGGGAATCTGAACATGTTTAAAACAGCATATCACTCCTGTCGGAAGAAAACCTCGTATCTCCAAAATGGTAACTTTACAGGAGAAGGAAAAAACTTACTTTACTTTTAATGTAAGTCAATGGAACCAGACATTTATCCAAATAATTTCTTTTGGTCCATTCATCATGAAATGTACACACAATGTAAAGAACAACAGGCAAATTTTCAAATTATGTCAAAAACTGAAAAACAACAATAATGGAAACAAGGTTTTTTCCGCCAACAGCTATTTAGTGCCAGCTATAAGCTTGTTTGTGTCCTCAGTCTTGTTCCGCTGTGCTCTGTTTTGCATCTGCTCTACTAGCGTGTCTGGAGTGCGTCTACAGAAGCCCACAGTGGGTGGAAACCCCGCGGCCCGGGCTGGCATTCAGCTGGAACAAAAACACAGCACCTCCAGCCACATCAAAAGCATGCAGGCCCCTCCGAACCTGTGCTGCCTGAGCTCGGCCTGCCCTGTTGTGGCGGCGTGGGGGTGGTGTGGTGGAGGGCTTTGAAAGTGTTAATGCAGTTTGGTGGAGGAGAATCCAGACCTCCACTGCTCGGGCTTTCCATTTTCCATTTCAATAACACCCAACAAATGGCTCCCCCGAAGGACCGTGGGCCTTAAAGGAGACCCCAGCACCCCGTCCCGCCCGCTGAATGGGGGCAGGAACGTCAAGAACCAAGCAAACTTCTGGACGAGCTCCAAGCCATGAGTCACACAGCCCGTGCTACAACAGCTAATGTCGAAAAGAAAGCCCACACACGTCAAAGCATCCGCATAAGCCGGGAGCCCCTTCGGTTTCAAGAGTGGCGGAGGAGTTATTCAGAATCAGAACAGCGAGTTGACCTATAATAAGGTCATTTTAAAGGTCATCCCTGCTGAAAAAGATCATAGATACCAATATAAGTCTCCGGTGGTCTCCAGTAGTCTCTAATGATATTGTGTGTTTTTGTGAGGGATTGATATCACAGTGTAAAGGACTGGTTTAACAGCTGTTCTGATTCCAGATGTGTTTTTCTGTAGGGCTGTTTGGTTAAATTCAGTGTTTTTCTTTTTCATATGCTATATGAAATGTCCTGGGGGTCCTCTTGGATCCCTCCGTGGCGTCCCCGAAACAAAACTTACTATGACGTTATGTTGTCTGTTAGAGAAGCTCCAATACAGACTCAGTAAAGCTCTTTGTTTATCTGCTTCCCCCACAGTCAGCTTCCGTCTTTGGTGTTCTTAACTAGCTAGAGCTGCAGCACTGCTCTGCCGCAGGGTGGCGCTGTAGCAGACTGGTTCACCCAGTTGGTCCTTCATAGTCTAGAAATTGTAACTCTGCCTGGATTCCTCTGAAAAACTTTACAATGAGCTGCAGCAAATCTGTAAATCTGAAAACTCGCCCAGTTTCCCAAGAGTTAAAGAGTTAAACCAAACATTTTGTTGCAGATGAAGGCGCTATGGTGAGTGAGTTAGCAGCCAGACAACATGGGACCCCTGAATTCCAAGGGGATATTTCACACACTGCTACTGAGGACGACATTGCCAACGTCCCTGAAGCACTTTGGCCTTGTTCCTCAAGTTGTTTGGTGATTTGTCTTTGCACATTGTTGCCAAAATACAAAAGCCATGGTCCAGCATGTGCAATCGAGGCAAAAACACACTGCAAATGACCATCTGTGCTGGGCAGGAAATGTCCCAGCTTTAATGAAAGCATTAATTTATTAAGAGGTCCACCCTGGTGCTGGATCAGCCAGCAGTCTTCGTGCCTCCAGCAGAGTGCAGCTGTACTTCCTGTCAGCATTAGAAGGCCAGTGCTCAAGCAGAACACACACCAGTCAAAACAGCACAGGTCACACGTCTTCATTTCCTTCCTTCCTGCTTCGCAGACGAAGCTGAAGTACATTTAACTCGGCCTACTACGCATAAACAAACACCTGCAGACAGTAATGACCACAACGTCTGCATGCTTTACTGAAGTACTGAGTAAACAACAGCCCACTCCCGCTCGCTTACAGACTTTGGACTTGTTTTATTAAGACTTTGTTCCGTTTTGTTAATGTTTGATGTCTAAGAGGTGAGCTGGCAGGCTTTGTTTTTGTCTTTAGGCAGCTTCATATTATACGCTGTACAATAACATAGTTAATATTCAGTTGTACATGTTTTCACATTTAGTGTCTTTTTGGGTTTTCCATAATAACTGACACCAATATTATTCTATAATATATTCTGTTATATTATTACACTAAACTATTAATATTTTATTATAATATACATATTACATCTTAAATAGTACTATATATATAGTTTATAGTATGTAGGTGGCGCAGTGGGTAGCACTGTTGCCTCATAGCAAGAAGGGCCTGAGCTCGATTCCCGGCCGGGTGACCAGGGTCATTTCTGTGTGGAGTTTGCCTGTTCTCCCCGTGTCTGTGTGGGTTTCCTCCGGGTACTCCGGTTTCCTCCCACAGTCCAAAAACATGCAGTCAGGCTGATTGGACACACTAAATTGCCCCTAGGTGTGAGTGAGTGTGACTGTGTATGTCTGTCTGTCTGCCCTGCGATGGACTGGCGACCTGTCCAGGGTGTATCCTGCCTTCCGCCCAATGACAGCTGGGATAGGCTCCAGCACCCCACCGCGACCCAGAAGGATAAGCGGTTTAGATGGTGTGTGTGTGTGTGTGTATTTATATATATATATATATATATATATATATATTTCTTTTTAAGGCAGAATATTAGTTTGCTTTTTTAAATAATGGCTGGCCTGTCTTGTATTTTTATTTGTGTATAATTTGATGTGTATTTTTGTTGCTTATTTATACAAAATAACGCATATCATGTACTGAGAAATATATGTATATAAATATTGTTAGGCATGTATTACAAACAGAACATTTAAAAAATACATGTGTTTGTAAGGATGTTTGCATTTTTATATAGTAATTTATTTTTTGATAAAAAAGAACTGTTTGCATTTTTTTTGCACTTTTATTTGTTTATATCAGGACATTTGTATTTTTTTTATTTTTATAGTAAGATATTGCATTTGTCTGCAGTTTTCTTTTTTATTTCCTGGTATTTTTATTTGTTTAGAATGGGGTGTTTGCACTTCTGCATTTTTATTTATTTGTTTATGGTGGGACATTTTGGCATTTTTATTTATTTAATATTTTTTATTATAAGACGATTTATTGTTTCTGATTTTATTTTATTTTTATTTGTTTATAATAATACCTTTGTATTTTTTAGTACTATTTATAATAGGACGTTTGTATTTTTTCTACATTTTATTTTTATTCATTTATGTATTATTTTATTTGCTATTTGTATTTGTTTTTAATAAGACGTTTGTATTTTTTCCTACTGCCTGTTTTGTATTCTTGTTTATTGATAACGGGACGTGTTTGTATTTTTATTTTGGTTTGATGGTAATAGGCCCCGCCCCTCCCGCGCAGTGACGTGTCTCTCCGCCCCACCTCCTCCAGTCCTCCGCTGCGCTGTGACGTCAGGGCGGCTCAGAGCCGATCAGAGCGGAGAGAGCGCGGTGCTGTATCGGAGGTAGAGTCGCTGAGTGCCCGCAGAGACAGAGCGCAGTCCGGGCGGCTAAACACTCACACGGAGCTCAACGCGGGGGAGAAAACACGAGGACACGGAAGAACAGAACCGGGACAGAACCGGTGAGTTCATCTGGCGGCAGAAGGTGTGGAGTTTCTGGCCGTTTCTGTCGAATGTTCTGCCCTGTGTGCTCGACTCTTCGTCTTTTCTCCCTGAGGCGCTTCGCTACCCGCTTAGAACGGCCGCTACCGCTAGCTGAGCAGCTAACCAGCTAAAGCGCACACGGACGCGGAGATTCGGATTAAGGGCCTTAAATGGGGGGTTAAATCCGGATTTTTTGACGTTTCTGACTGAAATATGGGTGCGATGAGCTGGGCGGTGAGGGTGCGGGTCCTGTAGCGGGGCTGTGAGGGGGCAGAGCGGGCGGCACTGGGACACTGCTGTCGGGGTAGAGGGAACCCAACCGACGGTGGCAGAGAAAAACCGGATTAACGGTACCGTTAATGATAAACCTCATCAATAATTATCTCCGCATAAAACATTATCAGTAATAGAGGTTATACAGATGGCAAAAACCACGCGGCTGAGGGCGCCTTCCTATTCGCTAGGTTCTCTTTCGAATTTTCCCGTTCCACCTTAAATGGTGCAGCAGTTCCATGTAACCACTGCACCATTTAAGGTGGAACGGGAAAATTCTAACAAGAAGCTGACTCCAGCCTTTTTTGCCATAATGTGATATCACGATACACGGTGTGTCGCGATATCTGATGGCTCGCCTTCGACGTTCGATTATTTGTTTGTTTGTTTTTAATTGTTTTTGAGGATTGTTATGCCTGTGATGAAGCACACACTCTTAAAAAAGGGTTCTTTAGTAAAGACAGTGGTTCTGTTTAGAACCATGAGTTCCACACAGAACCATCCACATGCTCAAATGGTTCTCTGCATGGTGAAATGGTGCTTCAGACTGATGGAGAATGTGTTGTGTGTGTAATAATGAATATGGTTCTGAAACCAAAAAGGGTTACAAGCTCGACATTGTAACAACAGCAGAACCCATTGTGGTGCTGTATGGAACCTTTAAAAAAACACATTCTCCATCGATCTGAAGAACCATTTAAGCATGATATGTGGTTCTTAATAGAACCATTCCTTTTACTGAAGAACTGTTGAAGAACCCTCTTCTAAGAGAGTAACAGTAGCAGAACCCTTTTTGGTGCTATTTGCAACACGTTCTCCATCAAGAACCATTTCACCATGCCGAGAACCATTTAAACATGACATGGTGCTGTACAGTATAAACTCACGGATCATTCCTTTTACTGAAGAACTCTTAAAGAACCGTCTTTTTGGGTGTTCTAGGGGTGATGGTCTGAGCGGGGCAGCGATTCTGAGTGTCTGAGCTGTGTGAAATCTCTGAAGTGTAAAATGTAAAATAATCTGTAACTGTAAAGTGTAAAGTTTCAGCGCTGCAGTGTTAGTGAGGGAGTGTTACAGCTTTAAGAGTTTAACTTAACGAGATAATAAATGCGTACGATGTTTAACGTGAGGGACCCTCGTGGCCCCCACAGGCTGACCGACTGTCAAACGACGAGCCCTGCGTTATTAGGCCACACTTAGCCCCTTCAAACTCCTTACGACAACGCTGTGACGTGTAATTAAGTGTGTAATTAAGTGTGGGTTGTAATTAAAAACTGCAGCTCTTGTGATTTTAAAAAAAAATCATGCTTAATTTGCGATATAAAAACGATGGATTATTCAGCCCGAACTATAGATATCACCAATACTGAGAGAAAGGGGGGGGGCAGGGGAGAGAGAGAGAGAGAGAGAGAGAGAGGGGAAAAGAGAGAGAGTAGTAGGACTAGGGGAAAGAGAGAGATCTAGGAAATGGGAGAGATGGAGAGGGACGCTTGATGCAGGAGAAAGAGAGAGAGAGAGAGAGAGAGAAAGAAAGATGGGGAAGGACAAAGGGAAGAGAAGGAGAGAGATGGGAGGACGAAGGACAGAAAGAGAGAGGGGGGGCAGGACGAAGGGGAGAAAGACAGGACAGAGGGAGGAATAGAGAGAGACGGAGAAAAGACAAGGAGAGAGGGACTCAGGATGGGGGAAAATGGGGAGGAGGGGACCACAATGCAGGAGAGAGAGAAAAGGACTGGGGGGGGGGTGAAGAGGAGAGAGAGAGAGAGAGAGAGAGAGGAGGAGGATGAAGGACAGAGAGAGAGAGAGTAATGCAGTGGCCTCGCTCGCTCCAGTGAGTGATGACGCTGAGCTTTTTCCCGAGTGCTACACACAGCGCTTTAAACTCATCAGCGCTGCGCGATAAATAAGTAAATAATGCGATAAATATGACCAGTAAACACACAGTTGGAGCTCACAGCGCCCCCTGCAGGCACACACGTTCTAAACCTAATATCAGCCCCATAGCGCTTCATAAACGCTCCTCACGTTTTACAGTCATATGTATCTGTTTCTAGGAACCATCTGTTCGTCTTTGACTCTCACAGCAAAATACACAAACAGAAACAAGGCATTTACTCATTAATCTATCAGTATTAGCAAGTTATTGATCTGTATCAGCTCTGCAGCGACCTTTAGGAGTGACGTCTGGTTTCGGTGGTGGTGTGGTCAGCTTTATCGTGGCCGAGTGTGTTGTGGTGAGGGCTAGGGTCGTGCTTCGTGGTTTGGTGACGCTGTGCAGTCGTCCCTTTGCTGACGGTGTTGAGGAGGCTGAGTGGGTGTTTTCAGTCTGCTGGAGGGGTCAGCGTGATGTCAGCGGACCACCACGGTGTCGAGCTCGGCTCAGTTACATGCTAATTGGACTGTCTTTATTAGGTGCCAATGCGTTTTCACCTCATAAACATCAGTGATGGAGATGAATAACTCGTCACCAGCCTCGACGGAACCGTCACGTTTGTTATTCCTGTGAAATATGTTAATTTCACCATTTGCTCTTTAAGGTTCGTCACATCTGGCTGGAAAAATTCCTCACATTAAAGCTCATCTAAGCTTCAGTTACACACTGAAGAAAGATGGTTCTTCAAGGGTTTTTTAGTAAAGAAAATGGTTCTGCATAAAACCGTAAACACTCATAGAAACTTTCGCATGGTTGAAGGGTTTTTTGCATCGTGAACTGGTTCTTTAGATATGTGCTGTAGATGGTTCTATATAGAACCTTTTTGAAAACAGTTCTGTGTAGCACCAAAAAGACTTCTTCTGTTGATGCAAGCTTGACATGACTGTTATCTGTTTTAGTTCACTTCTAATTTGATTTTGGTACGTTTTAGTTATTGTTTTACATTTGTTGTTCTTTTTATTTGGTTTATTATCATATTTCTGTTCTTTTTTTAACAGCATTTGGCATTTTTTTTTAGCCGTTGGTGTTTTTACAGTCTATTTTTTTAGTTTCTGATTTCTGTGTTGGTTCGCTTCATAGTAAATGAGGACACATAGACTTTAAATAAAGATTGATTGATTTATTTAATGTATCGGCCGATACTGAGTGCCAATATGAGTGCTTTCTTTTTAATTTGATTTAGGTTATTTATACTGCACTGTGTCTAAGACTAAAGCAAAGGGCATCAACATGGGGCTGGGCACGTCTGGCAGATATCTGATTGGTTTAATAAGGTTAATATCGGTGCCGATCCAGAGTATCGGATCGGTGCACCACTATGTTTGCGAGTCATAAGTGATTTTAACATTTCTTTCTGTTTCTCTACAGAAAGCTGACCAAACCCACAGTTTTCCGTCACCATCATGCATACAGTTGGACGAATGAGGTTTTATCATTTTTCATAGAGCAAATTACCAAAAACGAGGACGAAAGGAGCTACAGAATTTTTTAACGACAACCAAAACCCAGCGATATTCTTGAAGGCGAAGATGGCTAGCACTCAGGCGAGCATGAAAACTCAGTTTAAAGACCCAACTTCGTTCAAGAACAGCATGAAGAGGCTGTACCGAGAGAAGCTGGAGGACGCGCCCATTAAGAAGCGAGTGATGGCGGAGATGAAGCTGAAGCGGCGTGGTGGCCTGGACCTGCTGGTCCGGAGTGCCAAAGTGAAACGGGAGCAGGCGGAGGACGAGTCGCGCTGCGATGGGGACGCCGAGGGGCAGGATATGCATGCTGGGAAGGCTCTGGATCTGAGTCCGGGGCTCAAGCACACATTGGCCCAGTTTACCCTGAGCAGCCAGAGCTCTCTGGGCGGCCCAGCTGCTTTTTCGGCCAAAACGGCCCAGGAGGCGAGCCTTCCGGGTGGGATGGCGCCGCTTCCTTCGCCGTCTTTCCTGGGCGTGGGGCCTTTGCTGGTTCCCTGCGACAGCTCCACCGAGCTCACGCACTCCATACTGGAAGGAGAGTCCATTTCCTGCTTCGTGGTGGGCGGAGAAAAGCGGCTTTGCCTGCCGCAGGTGCTCAACTCAGTTTTGCGAGATTTCTCCCTGCAGCAGATCAACGCGGTTTGCGATGAGCTTTACGTCTACTGCTCCCGCTGCGACGCAGACCAGCTGCACATCCTCAAAGTTTTGGGCATCCTGCCTTTCAACGCGCCGTCCTGCGGTCTCATCACGCTGACGGACGCCCAGCGGCTGTGCAACGCCCTGCTGCGCCCGGGGGCCGCCGTCCAGGCTGAGACGGCTCTGCTGAAGGTGAAGGACAGTGAGTCCGGCTTCCAGGTGGAGCACCAGTGCCTGGGGAAGTGCCAGGGCCTGTTTGTGCCGCAGTTTTATCTGCAGCCGGACGCCCCCTGCGTGCGCTGCCTGGAGTGCCAGCTGCTCTTCTCGCCGCAGAACTTCGTCATGCACTCCCACCGCTCGCCCGACAAGAGGACCTGCCACTGGGGCTTCGACTCGGCCAAGTGGCCCTGCTACCTTCAGCTCAGCCGCAGATACCAGGGAGCGGCCGAGGAGCCCAAACTCAAACAGCTGCTCGACGAGATGAAGAACAAGTTCCACTCGCAGACGCTGAAGAGGACGCTGGACAAGGTGAGCGTGGTCTTTTCTTTTTTTTGCTAGTCCGTGTGGCTGAGCTGAGGTGCGTCTCGGGTCATTTACCAGGTGCTTAACCCTTAGAAGTCTGGAGTTTTTACTGCACGTTAGCTTTAAAGTGCATAGATATTCAAATGTTGTGTTCCGATGCCAAACAGAGATGCCTTTTTCATTAATAACTAATATCAAATTCACGTCATGATAAAATGTCTCGTCTCCTGTTTACAAAGACAAACTTAATACGGATTGAAAGTTTAGAATCTGCACTTTCCACAGAACCTCTTTGCTTGTTTCAGTGAGCTGCGAGTGAGAAACGATTAGCATAACATGTCGTCACCGGTGTGAGTTCTGAGTGTTGGTGTGTGCTGTGGCGGTCTGGGGGGCCGGCTGAGAGGCCTGCTGAGAGCGCATTTGCTTTAGGAGCTGTTTTGGTAAACCGGAGTTGACCCAGTTTTACAGCGTGTGTGTGAGTGACGCTGTGGGGGTTTTTGGGGCAGCTGGTCTGGAGGGTAAGTACACGATTGCCGTCCGGGGTCACGGCAGGGTCGGCCGTAAAGACACCCTCAACGACTGCACCGCCGCAGACAGACGTGTAAACGACTCTCAGGTCTTTTCACTTCAGCGCTGAGATGAGAGGGAGATACACAAATGGATGAATGTAAACTTCATTAACCCTGACGGAAATTCCAACAACTACAGAAACATCTTAACTCTGAGGTCTGATCTGTTTGGTCTCCATGACGACTTCAGTACAGACTGAATTTCGGACAGTATCTATTCCAGAATAAGAGTTCCTAACTTCATGATCTCATCATGAACTCCAGATAAGAAAACAGCATCACACAAACATCCTAACTAGACTAAACCTCCTAAATCCTGTCCTAACTTATTTGTGTCTGTGTGTATGTCTTTTATCTCTAATTTGTCAGTTTATGCCACGAGTAGAACATTTATCAACAATTTTATTCACACATTCCACTACTTTTATGATCCTAAGACTTGATAAACACATTTCAAGCACCAAAGCAGTTCATCCACATGAGTAAAGCTGTGTTCTTACAAGAGATAATAAGTTTTTCCACAAAACCAGGCTTCAGCTTTTCGGCTTTAGGGCTGAATTATCCCTGTACACAGAGCTCCAGGTCAAAAGGGCCTCATTATAGAGGGAGCTTAGATCGTTCTGAACATTTTCATATATAATCTGTGTGTATTTTGTTGTATGTAAGTGCATTTAAAGGCAAATTTAATTTAAAATCAAGATAGAGATATAACCCCAGAGGGTTAACTCAGCATAGAGGCCTGACTGTTTCACACAGGTCACTGAGTCTTGCTGGTGTTGGCTGTTAGCTGTTAGCCTTGTCACTGTGCTTTGCACTTTCGCATGAACTAGAGTTGCTGCAGTCGATCAGCTGAACGTTTGTCAACTCCGACGCTGTGACGGTGGATGAGCGTTAGCCACTCATGAGCGCTGGGGGAAAAAAACAGAAACGTGTACAGTCAGAATGGCTGGAGGGGAAATGCCCGCATTACATCAGCGCCGTGTCGCCGGTGCTCTGATTTCAGGTCAGAACGCTGTGGATGATTCCACAGAAGGGTGAAAAAAAACAGCTAAGTCAGAGGGAGCTATAGGAGCAGGGCAGCTATAGAAAAGTCAGCCTAAAAACAGGCTGGATTGTTTCAGAGCCACTGACTGGCACTATCTCATGACCTTTTGACCAACCAGGCCGCTTTTGTTCTCCTGACTCATGACCAGCGAAGGGACGCACACAAAACCACACAAAAACACTCGCACAATCGGAGAGGGTTTAACCAAGTCAGTTTGGGCTGTTTGAATTGGTCCGTGTCCACTAGGGCTCGACCGATGTGGAGATTCTGTGGCGGATACCGATACTGATTACAAGGGGCTAAAATTTCGATAGCAGATTAAAATTGAAAATTCGTGTTTATGTTTTACACTCTGATTAGAGAGCACAGGGCCAGTGGAAAATGCTGGACTGAATACTGGAAAAAAGATTAATTGGATCCGATGTGAAATTTGAAAAACGGGGCTGAATTTTATTTCAATTAAGATTTTGGCTTCAGCGAATTTATTTTTATTTATTATTTTTATATGTGTTCAGTCTTTTTCAGTCAGCTGTTGAAGAGCACTACAACATAGTTGATCCTGTTTATTTTTATTTATTTATTCATTATTTTTATGCTGTTTATTTAAGTGTATATTTTTTTCAGTTGAAATATATTTAGTATAAGGAATTCCACTGTTAAAAAGACATTCTTTTATAAGCTCAGTAAGTGCAGGATGTCTCTAAAGTCAGTGAGTAATTGTGTTAAATAATCATGATCTCAGTATTGACCAAAATAATCATGGTTATGATTTCTGCCGTAATCGAGCAGCCCTGCCTGAAATAACACAGAATTGCAAAGTAAAGAAAGTCATCAGTGACCACATGATGACAACTGACGAGATCCACGATGCGCTCAGAAAAGCATACTGTGACACATTGTGATATAGTTTATCACGCTGATGATGATTAATATCGTCCTATCGCCCAGCTCCCTCATCCGTTCTTTCAGGCTGGAGTGTAAAACCTTAGGGTGGGATTTGGGGGGCTGAGAAAGTCGATTAGAAAATCAGCATTCGATGCCTCTGTTGATGTGGGGGTCTGGCCTTTATATGGAGGGTCTGGGCTTAATGTGGAGGGTCTGGGTTCTAATGCGAGAGTCTAGGTTTAATGCGGTTGTCTGGGCTTAATGTGGAGGGTCTGGGCTTAATGTGGGGTCTGGGGTCTAATGTGGGGGTCTGGGCTTAATTTGGGATCTGGGCTTGATATGGGGGGTCTGGGGTCTAATGTGGAGGTCTGGGCTTAACGTGGAGGTCTGGGCTTAACGTGGAGGTCTGGGCTTAACGTGGAGGTCTGGTCTTAATGTGGTGGTCTGGTCTTAATGTGGTGGTCTGGTCTTAATGTGGGGTCTGGGGTTGGGTTTCCCAGGTAGGGATTAAACAGTCGTGGACTGTTCCTTTTAAGGGAGAATCTCTGTTCAGATTGCAGTGTAATCCAGGACTAAGCTTTGTTTTCAGTGTGAGCAGCAGGTAAAGGGTTAACAGACTGTGGAGCAGATTATTTATAGAGGGTGCAGGTGCGAGCGCGTTGCGATGTGAGAGCGAGGAGCTCCGTTTTCTCCTGCCTGCTTTTACAAGTGGGCCGGAAATACCGTCTGCTGTCTCGTCTCGCGCCCCAACCACACACACACACACACACACACACACACACACACACACACACACACACACTCGGCGAGTGTCTGAGACAGACACACTCTCACTCACACTAACACTCCCCTCAGGGTTGGTCTCAGTTCCACTGGGCTAAAGGTGAAAAACAGAGTGAGGCAGTAACAACCAATGTCTCTCTCTCTCTCTCTCTCTCTCTCTCTCTCTCATTCTTTCTTGTTCTCTCTCTATCTTCTCTCTCTTTCTTTTGCTTACTCTCTCTTTACTCTCATTCTTTCTCTCTCTACTTCCCCAGGGGGATTTTTTCTCTCTTTCTCAACCCCTTTCTTGTATGCTCTGTCTCGGTGGAGGACGTGGTGAAAGCTCTACCAGATTGTTGTGAAACAAAAGTTTGTGCAACGATTGGTTTTCACGGGGACTCACGCTCGCCCAGAACTAACCATTAAGGCTCTGAAGAAACAGGTGTGTGTGTGTGTGTGTGTTGTGTTGTGTGTTGTGTTGTGTGTTGTGTGTGTGTTGTGTGTGTGTGTGTGTGTGTGTTGTGTATTGCCTGGTGTCCTTGGCTTTTTAAAGTGACAGCAAACGTGTAGAGTCCTGCACCAAAAGCACCAGAGGAAACTAAAATTAAAAAGCTGCTTATCTGGGCTGTGGATTTGCTGAAAAAAAAACACTAATGGTAAAAATAAATGCGAATAATATTGATACAATAAGTAGTGACTTTATGGATGTCAGTGTGTTCACGTAATTCTTTTGACTGATCAGTACTTCAGTATGTTGAATGTGTCATAGCAATGGAATTTAATAAGGAATAACTTCATGCAGTAGCTGGGGGTGTCACCTCATCAAAAATACTACCAGCATCAAAACTACGAAGCTGAATTTAGCTTCTTATTCACCAGCTTCTTGCTTGAATTTGTCCGTTCCACCTTAAATAGTGCAGCAGTGAGTATTATAAGGCCTCAGGCCGCCGTGGGCTTTACACACACTCAGCTTCATCTCATTAAGGTTAGAAAGACATACTGACATCTGACTGTATATTATATTGTTCATTTCTATTTTGAATGTTTTGCTTAATAAAAATGTCTGAGATTTACTACGGTTGTTAAATATGGTTCTTATTAAAAGTTGAGGGACGTCCAGAATAATAAGCCACTGTAAATCTACAAAAAAGGTTTACGTTCAAAATGGTTTTATTTGTAAAAAATATATATATACATAAATACACTATACGACTATATATACAGAAACTGTCAGTAACCTTAATTATATGGTGATATGAATTTTTGCCCATACTGGCCACTTCTAGTGTAAAAGCAATAAGAAACAGGTTTTAATTATTGTAGCCACAGATTTTTAATTTTGGGTTGTTGGCTTGGTTTTTTCTGTCTACGCCTGATTGTGTTTATGAGTTTATGGTGAGCCTACGCATTCCGGTAAAGGACACACACACACACACACACTCACACTCACACACTCGCGCCCTGCGGTGTCCGTATCAGAAGTCCCCGTTCAGAGTGAGCGCAGAGGAAGTCGTGCAGACAGACAGACAGTGAGTTGTCGGCGAGGCCTGTTTACCCTAAAGCTCCTGCTGAGTGACTCACTGTTTCCACAAACCGCCGGACGCTGGGAAACACACTCATGTGCTCTGCGCGCCGTGTCCTATTTCTGCGCCGGTGTGGTGTAAGCAGTGTCTGTCTGAGTCTGAGTGTGTGTGTGTGTGTGTGTGTGTGTGTGTGTGTGTGTGTGTGTGTGTCAGTGTCTGACT